CCCAGGCCGGGTGCTCACCCCGATGACCCCCAACAAAACCTACTTGTGGGAGAAGAGCGACATTTGCACCAAGGCCTACACTGAGCCAGCGATGCAGCTGGCGGCGAAGGAGATGAAACTTGTTGAAGACCTGGATCCTAGTCAGGCCCCTACGTCCACGGACGACGCCGCGGTCATCATCCAGGGGGCCCAGAAGTTCAAGCAGCTCGGCGTCGACGGCATGCGGAAGCTCATGGCGAGCCTCTTCGAGGGCTCTTCGATTTCGGCCAACAATGTGGTCATCATCGTGGATACGTGCGTGGGCGTGGGCGACCTTTTCGACGCGTTTCTGGAGCTGCGGGAGGACAAGTCGTTCACGCTGTACTACTTCGGCCTCTTCGAGAATGACATCCACCTGGACTGGTTCAAGCAAATCAAGACGTCCACCATCGCGGATATGTTCGCTAACGACAAGCTCGTCATCCAAGGATTCAAAAAGGTTTCGTCGGATGCGCCGAGAGAGCAGTTGGACGCTCCACCGGTCTGCCCCCAGTTGAAGAGGCTCGAGTGGCATCACGCGGAGTCCAACGTTCCGGGGTCCCCCGTTGTGGGTTTCAAGGCCCCTTTGAACCTCGTCAACACTTGGGGCTCCCACCCGACCTACGGCGAGGAGTTCGAGACCAAGATCGACAACGTGGTGGAGAAGTTCGACGGGCAGATCTCCATAATGGACGAATCAGTGTCAGAACCCTCTCATCACCAGGTGGACGCGCCGACCAAGAAAATGTCTGGCGTAATGGATGGATCTACCCCGCTGAAGAAGCAGAAGATTCCGGTAGATAAGATCGTGCCTGTGGAGAGTTTGGATGGGGACGACTTGGTTTCCGTCGTCCTGCCAAACCTGGCGCCGAAGAAGGGGACAGGCAACGTCTCGCTGTCCATCAAGCCTGGCTACAGGATGGCCATCATGAACAAAACCGACAAGGTGGTGGAGATTACAGCTGGAAGTGTGCTGGCCTATTTTGGCCGGGGCAAGTTCAAGACCGTGCAGAGCCTAGACTTAGATGACTCGGTGGATCAAGACTCGTCGCTTTTGTTTTCGTTAGACTCTTCGGAGTCCCAGTGCATCTACCAGGGCAAGATCACCACAGCTGGCAGCCTCTACTACCAGAAGCTGAGCTCCAACAACCCTGCCAACGCGAAGGTGTGCTACCACCAGCTGACCACGAAACCTGGCAACCTCGAGGAGTTCACGCTCGCGCGCGAGCACAACATCGTTTTCACGCCGGATGTGGCAGCAGATCTGGATGGCGAGGGCGGCGAGGACGGCAAATCTCAGACCAACATGCCGTCGCAGACGAACGTGGCTGCGCTTGTGCCGGCGAAGAAGTGGGACACCCACGCTACAAAGCTGTTGTGGACCATGAAGTGGCACACAACTGGGCTGATGCCAGTGAAGCCGGTTGTGATCCTAACTCTGTCTGGGGACATCCCGGCAGGCTCCGCCCTTGTCATTGCCTAGGGGCAATCTTCTTCTGCCAGGGCCCAGGCCTGCAAGCTGCGTGGGGGGTCAGTTGTCACGAGTGTTGCATTATATTTTAAAGCAGGGGTGTGGATGAGTGAAGTTGGGGTCAATTTGCAAACCCATGGAACGAAGCAACACTGTGACAGACAATATAGCGCGCAGCAGCGCAACAGACGTTGAAGCTATTTTTTCCTCTGCGATTTACCATCGCACAGTGCCAAAAAACACCACCACCACCACCACCACCACCATCATCATCATCATCATCATCATCATCATCATCATCATCATCATCATCACCATCGTCAGCATCACCATCATCATCACCATCATCATGCTCTCGGGCGGTAGTAACCTGGCCAAAAGGTAAACGGGCCACAAGGCAAGGGATCCCAATGGCCCGATACAGGACAGTCCAATACGGGTCTGACGGAGGGTGCAGGTTGGGCACCACTCCGGTACAGATAGGATGGACGAGGAGGAGGATGAGGAGGAGCAGGAGGGGGAGCAGGAGGAGGAGGAGGAGCAGCAGGAGGGAGAAGCAGGAGGAGGAGGCGGTGGGAGGAGGGGAGGGCAGGAAGAGGAGGAGGAGGAGGAGGAGGAGGAAAGAGGAGGAGGAGGAGGAGTGGAGGAGGAGGAGGAGGAGGAGGAGGAGGAGGAGGAGGAGGAGTAGGAGGAGGAGGAGTAGGAGGACCAGCAGCAGCAGTAGCAGCATGATCCTATCTGCCCCTAGGAGAATGCCCCTCTCGGATAAGCCTGTCGGCGGCCAGTAAGACTAAAATCCGCCACCCGGCCGCCATTGCGAGGACATCTCGAGCCTTTTGGATCTTAGAATTGGGTTGTCTGGATGCTTGGTCTTGGGATTGTGGTCATGGGTTCCTTTATGCATGTGTTGATGTTGTTATTGCTGCTGTTGTTGCGGTTGCTGTTGCTGCTGTTGTTATTATTGATGTTGTTGTTGTTGGTGTTGTTGTTGTTGTTGTTGGTTTTGTTGTTGTTGGTGGTAGTGGTGTTGTTGTTGTTGTTGTTGTTGTTGTTGTTGTTTGTTGATTGTTGTCTGTTGTTGGTTGTTTGTTGTTTGTCAATGTTGTTTGTTGTTTGTTGTGTGTTGTTTGTTGCTGACCCGCATCCCCCTGCTCATCGCCCTCACCCCTTCCAGAAACTGTTGGGCTCGACCCCGCGTGGGTCCCTGGGGCAAGGAGCTGTACCGTTCGAGCTCATCAGACTCTGACACCGAAATAGAGGCGGCAAGTCCGTCAGAATCACCTTTATGACCCGAGGGCGCAATTTCAAAAACCAACCTGGCCCCCCCCCCCCACGGCGTCCTTGCACAACTCTTGTACCCCGGCCCCTTCACTCTGTTTGGGACGGGCGGTGCGCCCGGAAGACATCGGGGTGAATTCGGTGGAACGACCTGCTCCTCATGGAGCGGACGGCCTCACATGTTGGCCGTGTCGCTTGATTGATGATTTCTGAAACGCAGAGGTCGGTTCATCGAATCGCCTTTGTTCTTCCCGTGCACCCCCCCCGGGCTCCCAGGACGCGGTTCTAGCCGAGGCGCGATCGTTCGGCATCGGTGGCCGACACGCTCATGATCGGTCTGTTTCGCAAAGGAACCCCATTTCCCGAGACGATGTAAGAAGGGGTTGGCCTGGAAAATGGGGGGGGATAAGACTATGGCGCGTGTCAACGACGTACATGTCAATGTGTGTGCTTGCGGATGTGTGGGGATAGGTTTTGGGCACAGCATGGTTGCCTACCCGTGAGTATGGTGTGGTAAAGCGCGGCAGTCTCACCGTAGGTTGGCTCCGTCAGATCGGGTACTATGTGTTCCAGCAGATAAATGCCAGTCTGCACGCATATTTCTACGACACGTTTTTCACTGCGATCGACCCCCCCGAACATGAGAGGGTCGTCCCTGAGTCTAACCCGACAAGTCTTGAGAGGGATGAGGAGCCGAAGGTGAGACCGACAAACACAATTCGTTGAATGATTTACGTGCCTTGAAGATGTATGCTCGGAAGTGCTCCAAAACGGCCCAAGATGCCCCCAATACCATGACAAGACAGCCCACCTGATTGATCCCCTACCCCCGCCCCCTTCAACAGAAACAACCCAAGAAGTCCCCGCGACTGCCCAAACATGCCATAGGGCAAACACGAGAAAAGCCAAACAGTGGCCGAACCCTCCTCTCAACGATGCCCCCCCTGGGCTACCAAGAGATCCCAACATGCACCCAAAACCTTGAACGAAACTCCCAATGAATACGACCCTGCCCTCCCAGAAACATCAACATATTCCAAGAGGCCCCGAGAGATGCTTCCCACGACTTCCAACTTCCAAACTAATAATCCCAAGGAGGGGCTGTACGCAAATGGCAAAAGCACGTGGCCCCCGTCATCAAATTAGTACCCTGTCAGTGAGCCGCAACCGCCATATGACCCTTTCGTCATCGCCGCCCCTTCGGCATTTCGCGGCCCAGTGGCGCATGTCCCCTTGGCCGACAAACGACTATCAAGCCCAATTGTACAACCCACACGATTAATTAACACAATGCGTAACCACGAATATCTGGCCAGATCAGCAACACACACGACTTATGACAACCCCCAGTCGACGATACACATCCAACGCTATGTAAACTGAATAGTGTTGCATGTTGTATACAATATATAACATTACCACTCCTATGCTAGCACTTCAAGTCTTACGTACATGTAGATCGCACGCCTTGTGCTAACAATCACGGATCCTCTGGGCCTGAAGTCCCACAAGGGATTAGTATTGGGGTCCTGAAGTCCTGGAAGCCCTGAAGAACCGTAAGGAAATCCTGGAAGTCTTGGAATTCTGCCAGGAAGTGTCACGAAGACCTGAAAATCCTTAGCCTGGAAGTCCTGAAATCCTGGAAACCTTAGAATTATGCGATGCTATTTTTGGAAATCCTGAAAAGTCCTATGGTGGAAGTCCTGGATTGGAAGTCGCTGAAGTCCTGCAAATCGTGGAAGGAAGTCTTGGAAGTCCTGAAACCCTGATGCATTCCAGTCCCGGCGGAGCGAAGTTCTGCTAATCCTGAAGAGTCCGGAAGAAATCGTAGAAATCTCGGAATTCACTCGTGGATTGGAATCCTGGAAGACCCGGAAGCCCTGAAATGAATGAGTCCTGGAATCCTGGAAAATATTTAAGTCCTGCAATCCTGGCAGCCCTGGAAGTCCTGGAACAGGAAGGACTGCCAAATATCAAACAACAGGGCGCAAACATCAATTTGCAAGGAACATTCGTTTTCCTCCTCCTCCTCCTCCTTCTCCTCCTCCGCCTCCTCCTCCGCCTCCGCCTCCTCCTCCTCCTCCTCCTCCTCCTCCTCCTCCTCCTCCTCCTCCTCCTCCTCCTCCTCCTCCTCCTCCTCCTACCTATGGTAGTGGTGGTGGAAAATCGGCCCATCATCTTCGCCCCAGCGACAGGGGGACCCAGGACGCGCGTGACCCCCCGAGCTGGCACGATGGTCGCGTTCACGTCGGGCGCAGAGAACGCCCACGGCGTGGAGGCCGTGACGAGGGGGATCCGGTGCCAGCTGGGCGCGTGGTTCACGGAGGACGCCCAGCGCGCGGCGCACGCGGACGAGCTGGACCTGGCCGAGCGGGCGCTGAGCCGGACGGAGGAGCAGCTCTCCGAGCACGACCCCCACGACTGGCGGGCGGCGGACAGGCGCTACGAGGACATGTGCAGGCGCGCGGCCGAGGGCCACGTGATCCGGCAGGGGCGGCGCGTGGCCGACCTCCAGCTGCCCGGGAGGGACCTCGCGGTGCCCGTGGAGGTGCTCAGCGACCTCCCGGGCCCGCAGATCACGAGGGTGCGCGGCATAGTGACCGAGGACGAGATCGCGCACATCCTCGCGAAGGCATCGCCGCACTTCAAGGACGCCGTCGTCTTCGAGGGCGAGCAGCTGACGCAGGCGAGCTACAGGACCAGCTCCACCAGCTGGCTGAGCAACGACGACGAGGACCCCGTCATCCACAGCGTCCTCGCCCGGATAGAGGCCGTCACGGGCCTCTCGCTCGAGTCGGCGGAGGAGCTCCAGATCGCGCGCTACGTGGACGTCAACCAGGGCAAGTACGAAGCCCACCTGGACTGGGGCATCTGGGGAGCCAAACGGAACGCACAAGAGCACGGGGCGGCCGCGGACGGTCTCTCCGCAGGCGCCGAGGTCTCCTCCCCCCCATGCATCCCTGGGCGTCGCCTCTGCGGCCGCCCCCATGGCGCGCTTCGCGAGCGGGGAAGAGGGTGGGCTGGGGAGGGGCCCCCCTGCCGGCGGAGAAGCCGGCCGCGGACGTCCAGAAGTTTCTGCTTCACGTACGCCTGTTTGGGTGCCCTGGCGTCGGGACCACGGTCCGCAGGGATTTCGGCTACGGCGCGGGCGGTGCTGAGGTGGGCGCTCGAGCTGCGACTTTCCTGCTGTACCTCAACGAGGTAGACGCCGGTGGCGCCACCGTCTTCGTCTCGCACAACGTGTCTGTGGCGGCCGAGAAGGGCACCGCCATCTTCTGGTACAACCTGCACCCATCCGGCTCGGGGGACGAGCTGACACGCCACGGCGCGTGCCCCGTGCAGCGGGGCGAAAAGTACATCATGACCAAGTGGATCCACGAGCTCGGCAACGAGGCCGTGTTCGGCGCCGCGGAGGGGCTGCCCCGCGTTGCGAGGGACTGGAGCGGCGTGGCGCAGCTGCTCAGGGAGGGCGCCCGGGAGGAGCGCCCGCAGGTCCGCAGCCTGCCCTGCGGCGAGCGGGCCGCGGCGCACAGGCGCATTCGGCAGCAAGTCGTGGGAGCCTCCCTCTTCGTTCCGTCTGCAGCCTTGAATCAGCGTCGATTTCGCGTCGACTGGCGTCGATCAGCGTCGATTCGCAAGAGCCGGCAGGATGGTACGGGAGTCCGCATGGCAGCCTTCCCGTGAGTTGCCGCCGACAGGTGTGCGCTGGAGCCCCTGCAGATGGCGCGCTCGTGCCCGGGCCACTGCGACGAGGCCTCCGAGAGCTCCGCGGCGAGGGGCCGCGCCGTCGTGGACGGCGTGCTCTCCCCCGAGCTGTCGGCCAGGCTCGCGCGCCTCGCCCCGGCCGCCGCGGCGGTGGCCTCAGGGCCTCCCAGAGGGGGTCGCAGTGCGTGTGGACGGGGTCGGAGGATCGCGTCGCATCGGCGACGCACCGCCGATGCGGCTCGATGCGGAGCCCAACTTGCTTCACGTCGACGTCGCCGATGCATCGCCGACGTCGACGATGCATCGCCAGGGCATCGCCGATACATCGCCGATGCATCGCCGATGTATCGGCGGTGCGGCACGATCCTCCGGCCCCATCTGCTCTGACCCCGTCTAGGAGGCCTCTAGGTGGGCGACGGCTACGAGGGGAGCGAGCTCGGAGAAGAAAAAACGGCACGAGCAGAAGTCTCTGGGGCTCCGCGCGGAGTTCTCAGATCGGCGTTGGGCCCTCCCGGGGGCGCCTCCAGCTCCGCCCCTGGCGCGTTCCGCGCGCCAGAGAGAGGGGCCCAGCGCGGATCCAAAAAGTCCGCGCTGAGGTCCGAGAATTTGTGTACGTGCAGTCGTTCCTTTCTCTACCAGCGGCCTCACTCAAGCCGGGAGCGCTTTGCGGGCATCACGCCGTCCGACGCCGCCAGGTGGGCGATCGGCCAGACACCCGCCCGCCGCGCCGCAGCCGTCGAGTGGGCCGAGACGTATCTGCTGGCCGTTGAGACGTCCTCCGCCGTGGTCATCGAGCACTTCGGGGCGCCGGAGCTGCGGCTGGACTTTGCGCACCTGACGTGCCGGAGCGCGGAGGCGGGCCAGGACGAGCCGGGTGGCTTCTCGGAGCACAGCGGCTATCTGCGGGCCGGCGGCGACATGCTGGTGGAGGCCATGACCGTGCAGCAGGCGAAGGCCAAGTGCGAGGAGATGCCCGAGTGCGCTGGCTTCACGTTCGCTGGCAGGCCCACCGCGGAGCCGGTGACCGTGCACTTCAAGCGCGCGTGGATTTTGGAGGGCGAGGGTTGGACATCGTACAGGCGGGCAGCACGGCCAGAGGACTCACACCCTGCCCACGCGGACAACTGCTTCCGCCGAGGCGCCGGGTGTGCCCGCGAAGCGCCGTTCTTCCACTGGCGCAGCCACAGCGCGATCCTCTTCCTGCACGGCCCCGAGAGCGGAGATTTCAGCGGTGGTGACTTTTTCTTCACGCCGGACTGGGAGAGCGAGGGGGCCGCCAGAGTAAGGGTGGTGCCGAAGGCAGGGCGCCTCGTCGCCTTCACAGCCGGCGAGGAGAACATCCACGGGGTCGAGGAGGTCACCAACGGGACGCGTTGCGCGCTGGCCATCTGGCTGACTCTCGACGCCGAGCTGGCCGAGCACAGGGATGAGCTGCGGACGGCGCGCTCGCTGCTAGCAGCCCACAAGGGGACGTAGCCCCGCCCGTGCGCCGCTTCCTCAGGAAGTGGCCTCTGCGGGAGTGGAAGCGGGGGGAGTCAGAGCCAGTCAGTTGGCGACAGCGAGCGCCCCGGGCCAGGTATCATTGGCGACGCTACCCTGGGCCGCCTCGCCGCCACGCGCCCAGACCCCACCTTGCCCTTGGCGCCTGGCCAGGCCATGGCGTGCAGGCGGGCACAGGAGTTGGGGGTGGGCGAGGACGGCGAGACGGGATGTCGGCGGAGGTCCGACCGCCTGCTCGTCCATCCCAGGCCCCCGACGTCTTGGCTCTTCCCGGCGTGGGCTCCGGAGCTGTCGGCCCCGTCCACAGCACCCGACCCTCGTGGCGGATCGTCTGCCGTCGGTTGAGTCTCCGGGGTCCTGCGAGCGACCCCTCGGAGGGCCGAGTTGGATAAAACGCCCGCCGTGGTCTTGCCGCGACGCGCGGAGGTCTGGGAGCCTGGCGCGCGCGCCCGCGTTGACAGGCGGGCCCCTTGCTCCGACCCCCCCCCCGCGAGCGGCCGAGGGCTCTTCTGCCCGCTGGCCAGCGGCACTGCGCTCAGTCCCCTCTCTTGCCTTCGCACCGGTCGGGCAAGCTCGCGCCGCGGTGACGCGGCGGCGACGCCGGCGCGAGTGCGCAAGGCTGAACTCCACCAGCTGCTTGAGTTCGGCCAGCACCCGTAACGCTCCCGGCTGCCGCAGGGCGGCGATCGTTCATGCCGGCACGTCCCGAGCGGTGTCCGAAACCAAGGCCCACGTCATCGCGGCACGAGCCCCGCGCATGCCGCGCGGACGGGTGGCATCGGCCCTCTCCTTCGTGGAGCGCGCGGTCTGCCCTCTGATCGGCGTCGGGCCGCGACCTCTGCTCCGCTCCTCCGGCCCATCCCGGGCCTGGGGGAGAAAAAGACCAAAGACTCGAGCTGCGAGAGGAACAGGGAGAACAAAAATGGCCTCGTGCGCTCCGCCTCCCCTCACGGCCTCCGACGCCGGGACGTCCTCGAGACCGGCGCTCCTCCTCGCTCGCCCCGAGGCCGTCCACAGAGACGAGGCGAGAGGAGACAAGTCGGCCCCTGGGAGGGTATCGAGGGGCCCAGGCCCTCGCAGGGCAGCACAGGCACGACGTGGCATGTCCAGCCTCTCGAAGGGTTGCCAGCAAGCTCGAGGCGTGCAGTCGGACCGAGGTGTACACATTGTTCATTTCTAATTATTCGGCAGTTCTTCGATTTTGTGGGGTCGGAATAACGGAGTTATTGCTTGGCACAAATCCGCCCGCGCTGTGAACGACCCCGCGGCTGGCCGCGGGGGCGCCCTCGCTCGGCTGGTCGGCCGCGCGCTGGTCGACCCTCTTCCGCCTCCCGCTCGCGTCGTGTGGTGCAGTGCCGTGCCGTGCTTCCTCCGCCTGGCACTGGGGCGGGATATAAATACCGTGCCGTGTGTCGGGTTTCGGCCCTCCGCCCTCTGGGGGCTTCGCTCGGCCCATAGTGGCTTCCTTGCGGCCCATAGTGGCTTCGTTGCGGCCCATAGCGGCCTGCTGCGTTCACGTGCCCAATGGGGCCCTCTCTTCTGGTCCATAGTGACCACGAGCTGTCGTTGGCACGCTCTCATTCGTCACCATGGCGCGCTGGCATGCAAGCGAGCGGGCTTCAGCTGGCGTGGTTCTCGCTCGTGCCCCGTGGCGCTGGGATTGCGATGGCGTTGCTTGCCTTCTTGCAGTCTGACCCTGTTGTGGGCGCGAAGTGGACTGATATCCAGTTCAAGGGCGCCATTGATTGCCTGGCAGCCAATGGGCTGACGATGCCAGAAGAATTGGCCAATCTTCAATTCGGCGATTTGAAGGATGCCGATGGCGCGACGGCGCTGACGAAGGGCGTCCTGCGGCGCGCTCTGGATCGCGCGACGGTGGCGGCAGCCAAGGCGAGTGCGCCGGGTGCCGCGGGGCCCGCGCCGGCTTCGGCGGGTCGTTTCGGTTCGGTTGCTGCAGAATCCTGGGCTCCCGCCGAAGGGAGAGCATGTCGACATCGGCGCTGGCCTGGCCCAGATCAGCTTGAGGGACCTTCCGGAGTCCCTGTGGCCGAGGCTGCCGCGCGGCTTCGCCCCGGCGCGCTGGCGCGTTTCCATCGTTCGCTCAGGTCAGCGAAGACCGATGCGCTGGCCACCGAGGTGCAGCGCGCGAAATCCAGGGGAATCGCGCGCCCGTTCATTTATACTGAGCTCGCGAAGTTCCAGCCGCTTTGCGCGCGCGGCGCGGGCGGCTCTCCCGACGATGACGAGCCCGAGTCGAAAGAGGCGGCCGCGTTGGCCAGAGCGTTCGGACGGGGAACCGCGGCGGAGAGCCAGCCGCTTCTGGCGTGGACGCCATGGCACCAAGCTTACGACGCGTGGAGCGTGGCGGCCGCGGTCACTGATCAGATTTCGTACACGAGCGCCATGGCTCACAAACACGTTGTTCTCCAGGCGAGTCGACATTGGCGCCCGTCCGCTGGTCGCCGAAGTGGGCGCGCTTGCCCAGGTTGCACTGGATGCCCCCCTGCAGGGACGGAAGGCCCAGGTTGCCTTGGTCTACGACCGCCTTGTGCGGAGGACGTGGGCCGAGCGTGCCGCCGCCGGCGCGGCAGGCTTCCAGGCCGCAGCTCCGCGCCATGCTTCGGCGCGTTATTCTCGGGCGCGCGTCGGCGCGCAGGTGAACGTTGCGGCGCTGTCGCTTGACGTCGGGCTGCTCCGCGCGGCGGAAGCGGAATATGATCGGGCTCTTAAGGCCGCGTCGCCGAATCCCTTGTTCGCGTTGCGCCACCGCTGTCGCGCAGGTTGCCGCGCCGGCCGGCAAGGGTGCAGGGAAAAGCGCCGCGGCAGCGCGCGGGCAGAGTGCGAGCGCCGCGAGCGCCGCGGGCGCCGTGGGAGCCGCGGGGGGCGCCGCCGTCACTTCCTGGAAGAACGACCGCGATTCCAGAGCCGACGGGTGGCAGTCCCGATCCTATCGCGGGGATTACAACAAGCGCTCCTGGGATTCGCGAACGGTGTATTCTCCTCAGAAGAAGCCGCGCGCCTGACGCCCGCCGGAGGCACGCGCAGCCCGCGGCGCGCGGCGATGTGCGGGACGCGCGCCGATGAGGACGTGCATCGCGCGCCACGTTGGCACTTGAATAACAACGAATGGGCGCCAACCTCAGCCACCGTCCCGTGGGACCCGCAGGCGCGCGCGCGCGCGCTGGCAGGAGGGCGCCGCGTTGTTGCCGCGTCGTCCAGGGCTTGGGTGCCAGTCAACACTCGCGGTCCGTTCGCGACGCGAGGGCCGCCCGCCCGCTGGGCCAGGAGGCGCGCGAACGCCCCCGGCAGGCTCGAGCGCTCGCGCTCGCAAAGCGCAGGATGCGATGGGGCCCAGTATCGCTGCCACATGGGATTATCAGGCGCTGCGCGTTGTGGCGCGCGACGCTCGCGGGCTCGCGCGCCCGGCAGAATGCTGCCTCGAGTTGCAATGCACGCGGTTGCGCGCTGGCCACTGCCGGCTGCTGTCACCTGCCGTCGCCTGCGTCTGCTGAGGAAGCGCCTAAGCTCGCCTTTCTTGAAGAGGTCCTCTCCCGTTCTCACTCCTTCGAGGACAAAGAGGCCTTTGAAAAGGCCGTGGTGGTGCCCGGCGATGTTTTGGCGGCGATCGATTGGATTGCTGCGCGCTCGGAGCGGCAGGTGTGCCGTGAGCGGCGAGCGACTCTCGAGCGAATTCGGGCCAGGGACGCCGAGCTACGCGCCTCTGGAGCGACGGCGGCCTGGTTCGCGGGCTGCGATGCCCATGTGCGCACAATCGCAGGGTCGATCAACGGCCCTCTTCTCGTCGAACTGCTCGACGAAATCGGTTACGAGGACGCGGCCTGCGTGGAAGTCTTTCGGCGCGGCGCGCCTCTCGTGGGCCCTCTCCCGTGCACGGGGAACGGGCGTCCGGAATCTTTCCCTGTACCGCTCAGCCTGCCGGACTTGGCCGCGGGCGCGGAGCGAGGCAACGCCGCGCTGCTCGGCACGCTCAAGGAGTCTAGCGACTCCGCCGTGATTCTCACCAAAACTATCGCCGAAGCGGAGCTCGGCCGAATGAGCCATCCCGCGCCGCTCAGCGCGGTCGAGCTCGACGGTGCGGTTTTGTCGCCGCGGTTCGGCGTCCGGCAGTCGAGAGAGGACGGGTCCGAGAAGCTGCGGCTCGTAGATGATATGTCGCGCTCTCGTATCAACGCGGCGTCGCAGCCGACGGAGCGTCTCGGCCATGAAGCCATCGACGCTCTGTTTGGCACTTGCAAGGCATTTGTGACGCGCGTGGGCGAAGCGCCCGGGCTCTGGAAGGCGGACATAGACGCCGCGTTCCGGCGCGTGCCGCTGTTGCCGGAACATCGCGCCCTCGCATGGGTCGCGTTCCTCGTGGGCACATGCGTCTACGCGGCTCAGCACTTCGCCGCCCCATTCGGAGCGACTTCCTCCGTTCACAGCTGGGAGCGCATCGGCGCGATGCTGTCAGCGCTGGGCCGCAGGCTCATTTTCGTCCCCGTCCTCAGATATGTGGACGACTTCTTCTGGCATGCCTCGTGGCATGCCGGCGCGCGCCCGCCTCTCATCTTCCGGCAACGCGCGCGTCCGCCCGCGGCGGCAGTTGGCGCGCAAGGCCCGTGGTAGTCTTCAGGCACCCGGCGGTTCGCGCCGCTAAGAACGCCATCGAGAAGCGTTCGGGCTGGCAGGCGAAGGCGCGCATGGCCCTTCAGGGCCGCGACGTCGCCCGTCTGGTGTCGCACCTGCGCGTCAGTGACGAGGGTCGCCGTTTCGCCATGTTGTGCCTGGCGGCCTACGCATTCCTCCTTCGGCTACCCTCGGAGGCCCTGCCCGCGGTGCGGGTTGAAGATGGCGCGGCCGCGGCTTGCGTGGCCTCCGCGTTCGTCGTCGGCGATCAAAAGATCGAGCTGCACCTCTCCAGGAGAAAGAACCGCGAGAGCCGCTCGGTGATGGCACGGCAGTGCTGGTGCGACGAGTGCGCGGTCACCTGTCCCGTACACGTTCTTGGGGCCTGGCTAGTTGGCGAGCCAGCTCATCAGCCCATCTGGGCTGCGTGGTCCCCAGGCGCGGCACGTGCTCGGCTGCGCCGCGCGCTGGGCGAAATGGGGCGCCACGACGCGGAATCATTCGGCACTCACGCGTTCAGGCGCGGGCACGCGCAGGACATCGCTGCCAGGGGCGGACCGGTCACCGACCTTCTTCGCGCGGGCGGCTGGCATCAGCCCGCGTGGATGAAATACCTTAACGTTTCCCGGCTCGAGCGGCAGTCGGTCGCGGAAGCCCATTTGGCAGAGTCGTCCAGCGACGATGGCGATGGCTGAGCACCCCGCGCAGTCTGGTGGTCGTGTCTGCACGGCACACACGTGGGCGCACCCCCGGCACGCGGGGGCAGTGGGTGGCAGCGCCGGGCGTGGCCCGCGGGAGCGCCGTTGCAGTGGGTGGTGCTCCCCCACGGGCCCGACCGGCGTCTGCCCGCTTGGCCTCGGAGAGGCCGCGCGCTGCGGGGCAGATGGGTCGGGTCCGCACCCTCCGCTCCTGGGGGAGGCTTCCTCCTCCCCCCCCCCCAGGGCCGTGCGAGGCGAGTGCAAGCGCCAGGATTTGTGGGGTCGGAATAACGAAGTTATTGCTTGGCACAAATCCGCCCGCGCTGTGAACGACCC